GCCCCAGAGCCAGCCCTGTGCTGCTGTGGGACAGTCCCATGGGCTGCTCTGCAGCAATCTCAGCAATCTCAGCAAGAGATTTTTTTCTTCTCACTTAGCAAATGTTTACACCTCCATCCCAGCATCCATTACATTTCCATCCCAGCAACTGCTCACCTCTTCACTGGGATCCAAGGGATCATATTTGCAATCAGCAAAACTCTTGGTGACTTCACAGATCTCTTCGGAGATCCGCAACACCCAGTTCCCAAGGAAGTTTCCTCGCACCCCTCCCAGAACTGTCTTCTCCAGCTTCAGGAAGTCAATGGCTGCCTGGAACAGCTCCTGGCAAGCACAAACCCCCATTTCACTTGGCTCCCCCTGTCCCAGGCTGCAGGTGCAGGAGCTGCAGCACTGGCACAGGGCTGCATCCTGCCCATTCACCATTCCTGAGGAGCATTCTCCCAGGGATGCTCCCTGGCCTGGCTGGGGGGTGCCCCTCCTGTCCTGGGGGCTCAGGGCCAGGAGGGCTGTGCCAGGAATGGTGCCACAGTGCTCCCAGCAATGTCCCATGGCATCAGCGGCCCCAGCCCACCCAGTGCTGCTCTCAGGGACCACCCTGGGATCCCCAGGGCAGGGAAGGCCCAGCTGCAGCTGGCACTGTGCCCCAAAATGCTGTGCTGTCACCTCGATGGTCTTGAGCCGGTGCAAGAAGGCGTCCATCCTCCTGAAGGTACGGGTGGGGGGGAACTCCCACAGCTCTGGCTCCTCCTGGGAGGGGAAAGGGTCTGTCAGTCAGTGGGGCTGGCGTGGAGGGGGCCGGGTGCCTGCACAGTCCCTACACTCACTGGGAACAACGTGGGCATCAGGTTGGAGCAGTAAGTGCTGTAGGACTGGAAGAACTTCTCTATTGTGGAGATGCTCAGTTTGATTCCCTCCAGGGTCTCCTGGGGTTCTCCTTGCAGCCCCTTCAGCACGTCCTCAGGGCTCAGGAACTTCTGGGTCTGGGACAGACAGATGCAGGCAGGGACTATTGTCAGGAGGGTGTGAAGGCTCCTCCTGTCCCCTTCATCCCCATGGCCTTGCTGGTTGCCACCTGCAGCCCGTGCCTGCCCCAGACCCCCCCAGCCCTACAAGGGCCTCTGCTGTTCCCTTGTCTGGGGTGTCTCTGTGTCACCACAGCTGGATTCCCCACATCTGTCCCAGTGGGGCAGCTGGAGGGGGTGTGGGTCGGTGCTGGGGCTGTACCACGGTGATGAGGAGGTTGCAGATCTCCTGCAGGACACGGGCTACGTGGGCAGGTGAGTGGTAGAGCTGGCAGTGAACCCGGAGCAGGCAGACAGTGCACAGCACCTTGGGCACAAAGGGCAGCACCTGTGGGAGCAGAGCCCCATCAGTGTGGGGACGTGGCAGAGCTGGGGGCACGTGCCCCCCCCGCAGCCTCTGGGGCTCTGCACCACCACCCAGATGAGGCAGCCAGGCTGTGCCTGGTTATTTTGCCACATTATTTACCTGGGAATAATCCGCTTGTTCCACCTCCTCCAGCAGCACCTGCAGCGGTTGCAGATGGAGGCTGACATCTTTGGCTTCCTCCAGGCCTGAGACAGGGAGAAAACTCTGGGTCAGGATGGGGATGCCTTGTCAGAGGCAGCCACCACCACATCACAGGGCCTCACCAGCATTGACGGCCTTGAACATGTTCTGCAACGATGGCCAGTAGCAGCTGTTGGCCTTCTCCAGCGTCTTGGCCAGCACTGTCACTTGGGGCGAGAGCAGCTGGCACAGGAGAGGTGGGGGGTTCAGCATGGGGGGCTCAGCACGGGGGGCTCAGCACGGGGGGCTCAGCATGGGGGGCTCAGCACGGGGGGCTCAGCACGGGGACATGCGGGTGAGGCAGTACCTGGTCATTGATACACTGCAGGTTGGTCATCCTCGTCTGCCAGAACTCGAACTCGACCCTGGGCAGGGGGTGCACTCCCTCCAGCAGCAGCCGTGCCGAGTCCTGGCTCAGGATCTCTTCGATCATCTGGGACCACTCGACGATGACGGTCTCGATGGAGTGCAGCACTGGGCCGTCCGCAGGCCCCACCAGGCTGAAAGGCAGACAGGTTATGCCCCTGGTTATGGCAGGTTATGGCAGACAGGAGCCATAAACTGCCCCAGGGGAACCCCAAACAGCCGGGGGAGCCCCTCGTGCCTGCTTGTGCGGAGGCCTGGCATGGGCCCCTCAAACCTTCTCTGCTGCAGGGGTGGCTGTGCCCAGGGGTGTGCAGGGACTAAGCCAGTGTCCCGGCTCCTGTCCCTCCCTGAGGGACTCGTGCTGCCTGGGCCCCTGTTTGCCTTTTCTGGCACCAAGCGGTGCCAGCAGCACCCACCAGTCCAAGGCGGCACCGGAGTCGTCCCAGCTGATCAGGTGCTCGGGCAGCGGGAGCAGCGGCTTCCCCTGGATCTTCCCACCCATCATAAACATCTTGTTCTGCAGCTGCTGGGTCTGTTGCACAACATCCTCCGCCACCATCTTGGGCCAGTTGAGCCCCTGCTCCTCACTCAGGAGCAGGGGGGACACGACCTGGAGGACAAGGCTGGTTTGGTGCTCTCTCAGGCACTCCTGTGCTCAGTGGGCAGTCGTGCTGCCCGTCCCTGTGTCCCCTCTCGCTGCCCATCACAGCACAGCCTCAGCCCAGCCACAGCTCCAGCGGCCACTAATGGGTTTTCCTGATGTTTCTGTCCTCAGTGTGACCAGGAGTCCCCTTGGTCTGGGTTTCCAGCTCTCACGGGCTGGGAAGTGTTGGGAGCGGCACAGTGAGAGCACCCAGCGGGGTCAGGGGCTGGAACACAGGCAAAAGCCCCCGGCACTGAAGGGGAATCATGGGGGCTCCTGGGGCCAGTGCAACTTTTGGGTGCTCTGGGCTGGCAGTGGGAATATTCGTGGGAAGTTTGAGAGAAATCCACTCAGACATTTCCCAGATGTGGGGCAGGGGACATTACAGTGAGCTTCTAAAACCACAGGGAGGAAGTGATCCAGTTGGGCCCAGGAGAAAACTGGGCTGGTGACCTTCCCCCAGCTCTTGTCCTGGTGGGGCTCATTCAGCCCGGCACAGGAGCCGCCCAAAGGTCAGGGCCAGTGCCTGGGGCAAGCTTTTTCTATAAATTTCAGTTTCTTTTGCAGACCACCTGGAATTTTGGCTTTAGCAGTCTGCACCAGGCATCCCGGCACAGCATTGTGCCCGGGGAGCTCAGCTCATCCCCCTCGCCCCAAACCTGTGCCTGTGCGGGCAACCCACCTCCAGCAGCACGGTGATGAGCTGCTCCACGGGCGAGGGGCCAATGTCTCCCACCAGCAGACCGCTCTGGCAGTTCTCCTGGGTGATGGTCTCCCCCTTCTTCTTCACAAAGTAGATGCCCTTGCTCTTTAGGGCAGCTGGGAAGCCCGTAGTGGGCAGGAGCTGCCCGGAGGGGTTCAGCCCCAACACCACCTCCAGCGCATCCTGCTGTTTGAAGAACTTGTCCAGCATGGTCGTGACCTCCTCGCTGCTCACAAACTTGCCCCACTTGTCCGTCGAGACGCGCAGCAACGCCGTGACCAAGCTCTCCATGAAAGCAAGCCGCGGGTCCTGCCCGGCCGACATTGCGGCGGCACCGCGACCCCGCAGCACCTGGGGGGATCCAGCGTGCGGACCCCGCTCACATAGAGCCTGCGCCGACCCCACCCCCCGACCCTCCCCGGTGCCCGTCCCACCCCTCCACTGCCCGTCCCGACCCCCCGACCCTCCCCGCTGCCCGTCCCACCC